TAATTGGAAACACAGCTTGTAATATTTGGTTTTAATTCGGCTTTTATCGGGGTTTATTTTCTGTATTTTTGTATTTTGTAATTTTTTGTATTTTGTGTTTATTATTTGTTTTTAATATGCTGTGAACCGCCCTGAGTCCTATGGGAGAAGGGCGGTATACAAATTAAAATAATAAATAAATAAATAAATAAATAAACCAATTAAAATGCTTCAAGGAAATTTTTCCAGTTGCTAACTGTATCTCCAACATCAGTTTGGAATCAAGACTGAACTTTTCAAGACAAAGGGAACGATTTGGATTAGAATGTTAAATTAAAATGAAATTTAATATCCTTAGGTTTGATTTGTTTATACTGATTTCAATTTATTAATTTCCTTTTGGAGACTAGGCTTTACATGTGTTTTTTCTAGAGATACTTGTGGCCCTACAGTTAGAATGTGTTGGAGCAAACAACAGAGATGAATTGCCAAATGGATTTGTCACTACTGTTGTTCTAAATCACTTCAATCTAGATAGAATTAATTGTTCCTTGAAAGCAGTTGATTAGTCAGTATAATAATTCTCAGTTGCAGAAGAACTAGCATATTGGCCAAGTACAATGCCATATACACAGTGGTTTTACTTGGAAAGTTCTATATAATGAGAATTTGCCCTTGAAACTCTGAAGAGGTTGAATCAGTAGAAAATTATGTCCTAAATTGTACATTCAGCGCTTCTCATTGTTCTGATTTTATGGTCCTTCCATTGTATCTATGATATATCTATTTTTTGGCTTGCCAGTTCAGATCTGAACATAAATTAAAAGGTGGTCAAATTTTGTGTCATGACCTGTAAGATTAGAGAATAAAAATGTATTGCTGTCTCTTAATTGGAACAAAGCAGACTCCTTAATTCTGAGATAAACTTGCTTTGTAATTTTTAGGTTAGGTTATTATACTAATTTATACCATCTTGAAAATATATATTTATGATTTGATCATGAAATAAAGTTATTGGATTTTGTTTGACTTGAATATATATAATGTATATCAAGTGCAATATTTGAAGCCTTTATTAACATGTCTCATTTTATATTGAAAGGCAACATTCAAAATGTCTTATTTTTCTCATTTGTGTAAGGATGTCAGGCTTTTTGCAGTTAACTGCACAATCCTTACAATGCTAGCAAACCATAAAACTATTGGGTGTCTGACGCTGTTATGGTTTTAGGTTAGAATTCTATTTTTATTTTTGCTACAAGGATGTTATTTCTAAAATTCTACTTGTAATAAAATGTGAAGCATTCCATAGATCCCTGCAGGGTACATAATGTGATTTGATAACCAGAGGATAGCATTTTTTTAAAAAAAAGTTTCCTTACATAAAATATTTTTTTAAAAGAGACAACAGCCAAAAAAAGGAGAATGCTAACTAGAATCCTGCTTTTTCATTTGTCATTTTCAATAAACAGAGATTCCAGTCAGGATCTGAAGACTGGATTGCTTCAGTCATTTTTCTGCTTCATTTTGTTGCATACTTAGATGAGACTGCTTAAGTGGCTCTAGTAGGAACTGTAGTTCAGCAATACAGACAGTTCTCGATTTACGAGTGGTGATGTAAAGACTGTTCAAATTTATGGCACACAATCCAGTTCCAAAGATCCAGTGGCCACTTTCCCCCACCCATGTCCTATGACTGCATGTTGGGCACAAAAGCAGCCTGCATTTATGACCATTTGCAGCATCCCACAATCACATGACTGCATTTTAATAGTTTTGCTAAAAACTGGCACTTATTTCCAGTTTTCAGCAAAACCGGTTTATAGGGAAGCATTGGTTCACTTAACAGCCACAACATTCACTTAAAGACTGCTGCAAAACAGGATGTAAAATTGGATTGATCATATTGGTGATACATTTTACAAATGTCATGACTTGCAACCGTGATGCACAAGCTCCATTATGATTATGAGGATCACCTATATTCAGCACCATTAGTTCCCCTCCACAATCAGTTCTACAAACTGAATGTTTAACACAAAGATAGTAACGAAGAATAAACTAGAGATCCACCACTAAACACATATACTAGGAATAAATTAAGAGTTTCATCAGTAAATGGATGTAGTTTCACTTAACAGGGCATGTCTTAGTTAATCAAGATTCTATAAAGGTTTAGTTCAGCATTTGTTGCTATAGCTAGAGAATCTTTCAAACACAAAACCTGCCATATCTCCGTAAATATGTTTGTAGAAAATTTAGTATAGAATGTTAAATGATATGCTGACAATTGTTAGCATCTTGATGAGGTACTGTATTGTTTTATATGGCTATTCACAATACCTGATAAACTGCATAATTATGTTTTTGTGAATGCCAATATATTAGAGCAAGAAAATACTAGGCAGATTTTTTAGTTTAATAAAGCTAATAGCAGTTAATCATATTATAATCTTTTAAATGATTAATTAGCTAAGCACATCTTTCCAAATATTGTTCATGCTTGAAATATGCCTTCAGAGAATGATCTGTTGTCCTTGCAGCAGAAACATGATGATTTCAATGCACAAGCAAGAATTAGAACAGATAACAGAATAAAAGTTGGAAGGGACTTTGAGGTCTTCTAATCCAACCCCCTGCTCAAGCAGGAAACCCTATACCCAGTGGTGGGATTCAGCCAGTTCGCACCACTTTGGCAGAACCGGTAGCTAATTTTTTTGTTGCTCAGGCTCAGAACAGACTTCCGGAAGTGGCATCCACACAGAGAACCGGTTGTTCGCATATTTGAATCCCACCACTGCCTATACCATTTCAGACAAATGGTTGTCCAGTGTCTTCTTAAAAACTTCCAGTGTTGGAGTTTCTTGTTCAAGCAGAACATAGACTTCAAATCATAAGACACATGCGCATTTCTGACTCATACAAAACACAGTTACGCATATGCTAATAATGTCACACTCTCTAGAGAATATATGTTTCCCAGAACACATTGGTGAGATTCTATGAGTTTTTTGTATGTCAGGAAGTTCAAGTGTGATTCATTGACTCTGTTGAAATCAGCAGGAGGCAAATTGTATAGGTAGCTTTTATGATTTGAATAAAACTGTTAATGTTAGTCATTTATAAATATAAGGATTAATTGCTATTTTTGAGCCAAAAAAGTAACTGTATGAGTCAATAAGCACATACTGCAGTTGACCAAAATGAGATCCCACTAGCACAAAGTATGATAATCTTAACATCAGGTAAATATTTATATAGAAATCACAGTGGTACCTATTATCTCTTCTGAAGGTTGGAATCCTTTCCCATTAAGCTATTGCTATACTTTCTAAATATATTTAATCTCCTATTAAAGCTCAAAAGAGTAGAAATATTTTAAATCTTTGAAGCAATCTATTTTATAAAGAAAGCAAAATTACTTATTCAAGCAATTACTTATGAAAATAAGCTGAATGTTATATAAACTAGGAATTAATTCCAAGGCTTTAAAATTAAAGGTGATATTTTAGTATCACCTATAAGTATTTCACAATAATATTCTTATTGTATTAATATTAAAAATGTGTTATTTTGCAGTTCCAATGCTCCCATGTTCGAGCAAATGAATTTCACACTAAAAATTGATTATAGTAATAATGTTTATTTGGCATAGTCTGCTTTATCATTTTTTTCAAGGTAAACATTTTTAAAAAATAATAGTTCAGCTTACCACATATATACATTACAAAATATTTTAAGAATAAATCAAATGAAAAAGGAAAACACAGCATACACATACAACCATTGTAATAAATCCAGCTTTATCTAGCGGATTAAATGATCAGAAAACATTTATATATTCAATTTGTGCAAGATACGAAAAGAATATAAACTTCTACAAAAGCAATTTTGAAAAAAATTCTAAATTCTTCCAAATGAGTTGCTGATTTTGCACATTAAATATAGTTTAATGTTCTAAGAGTACTTCTACATAGGTACTTAGTCTTTTGTAAGTATATTTCAGAGACCATAACCAATGCAGGATTAGTAAGAAAATATAATCTACATATCTATGTAGTTCTAATCCTTCTTGTTCTGGTTCTTAAGTATATTGCTATCAACATTTGATATGTTTGTGGATTTTTTTGAACAGCGTCTGTCAAATGGCTCTATAGACTCAAATGATGAGACTGCTCAGTTGGTAGAACTGCAAGAACTTCTTGAAAAGCAAAATTATGAAATGGCACAGATGAAGGATCGCTTGGCTGCACTGTCTTCCAGAGTTGGAGAGGTGGAGCAAGATGCAGAAACTGCTAGGAAGGACCTCATTAAAACTGAAGAACTGAACAGCAAATATCAGAGAGATATTAGAGAGGTAAATCTCTTTTGGATGTTCATCCTGTCATCTATTCAGGTTTGAGAATAATTTTATTTAGGGAAATGGAGTTCTTCCACAGCCAATTGGGGAAAAATAAATTTGCCTTTAACATTTAGCATTCAGTTTAAGATGTTTAATAGTAGATGAATATTCTGATAGCACTTGTATTTTTGCATCCATGTGTAGCAGTTTAAGCACTATTTCGCTATGACTTACCAAGGTAAATAAAGAGCTTGCTCTATGAAACATCTCAGAGAGACAGAGAAGATCTGTTGGTTTGACCCAAAACTGATCAACTTGTGATACACTGTAGAAACATAATTTGCAGTGCAGGACTAGTCAAGAAGGGTAGGTTAATCATCAAATTAGTACTAACCACTATAACATTGTTTTTAATATATTGTTTCTGTGACATCTGTTGACAAAACTAAATGAAAGTTCCTAAATTCTCCTGCTAATTGCTCATTCCAAAATGATGACATGTTGAGCAGAACTTTATTTTGTCCTAATTTTGCTAATTTACATCACCATAATGCTCTTTCTTTTGCTATTTAAAATAATTTAATTTAATTGCATTTAAAATATGTTTAATTTTCATGATTTTCACACCGTGGAGAATTACAATAGGATAGAATGTTGGAGAAAAAGCAGAAAACATTCCAAATGTTTATAAAATATAATGATAAAATATTTATAAAACATGTTTATAAAAATACAAATTATCCAGAAAAGTAAATTGAATAGATGATTTGAAGAGATACTTTGCATTTTAAAATATGTCTACATTGTCAGGAAGCAGCCTTATTATCATAAGATAATAAGAATTGTCCTCATATCCAAATCTTGGTTTTGAACTATGGAAAATAGGATAAAAAACCCTAAATTATCCTTGCCAAAGTCCATGTTCTTTTGTAAACCCAGTTTTACAGGCACATTCACCACCAGCCATTTAGCCCTTTCTTATCTAAATTTCCAGGACACCCTATTTTTATTTGCCTTATCTGTTACATAACCAGGATAAGAAGAAGAAGAAGAAGAAATACTTTATTGTCATTGTATGTGCGTACATAGTATACATATACAATGAAATTTACTTGACACCCAAAAACCAAGTCCAACACACATAATCCCCAACACACTCCCCCCACCACAATCCCCACCCCAAAAAACCCCAATATCCACACAACAGACCAAGTAATACTGTCCAACAGTTCACTGATGGTGGCCCTTTAGTTCGTTGTTAAGTGCAATTACAGCTCTGGGATAAAAACTATTCAGAAAATGTGTGGTCCGAGTTTTAATTATTCTGTATCTTCTGCCAGAAGGCAACAGTCCAAAAAGATTGTAAGCAGGATGGGAAGAGTCTCTGAGAATGTTATGCAACTTCCTCCAACAACGAGATTCAAAGATGTTATCCAGAGCTGGTAGCTGGAGTCCAATAATATTCTGGGCAGTTTTAATAATCCGCTGTAGAGCTTTTTTATCCGCTATAGAGCTACTCCCATACCATGCAAGAATGCCGTATGTCAGGACACTCTCAATGGTGCTGTGATAATAGGACAGGAGTAGATGCTGAGATAAATTTATCTTCCTGAGCATTCTCAGGAAGTACAGCCTCCTCTGTGCCTTCTTCACAAGCATATTAGCATTCATAGTCCATGAGAGGTCCTCCGAAATATAAGTGCCCAGAAATTTAAAACTACCAACCCTTTCCACCTCACCATTTATGTACAATGGTAGATGTACATCTCTCTTCCTCCTAAAGTCAATTATAAGTTCTTTAGTTTTTGTGGTGTTAAGTGTAAGATTATTTTCATTACACCACAATGTCAGCCCTTGTACCTCCTTCCTGTAAGCAGACTCATTGTTCTCGTTAATGAGCCCCACCACTGTTGTATCGTCCGCAAATTTAATAATTGCGTTGGTGTTATACAGTGGGGTGCAGTCATGCTATACAAGGAATAAAGGAAAGGGCTTAGCATACAACCCTGGGGGGCTCCTGTGCTTAATATCAGAGTAGAGGAATGGTGAGATCCCATCCTTACTGACTGAGGCCTACCTGTCAGAAAATCCTTTATCCACAAGCAAATCCTCTGGTTTATACCCAAATTGGACATTTTAGAAAATAACCTATTGGGTAGAATGGTGTTGAAGGCAGAGCTATAATCCACAAATAACAGCCTTGCATATGTCCCCTGTTGTTCCAAATGATTCAATACAATATGGACAACAAGAGACATAGCATCATCAGTTGATCTATTACCCCTATATGCAAATTGGTATGGGTCCAAAATAGATGGAAGACTAGCCTTAATATAGTTCAACACCAGCCTCTCAAAACATTTCATGACAACAGATGTTAAAGCTACTGGTCTATAATCATTAAGAGATACCACTACTGTCTGCTTAGGAACTGGCACTATAATAGATGTCTTCAAACAGGTAGGGATAGAGCACTGCGACAGGGATAGATTGAAAATATCCGTGAACACTTCAGCCAACTCTGCAGCGCAGTCCCTGACAACTCGTCCCAGAATTCCATCAGCCCCAGCTGCCTTCCGGATATTAACATTCTGGAAAGTGCATCTCACATCAGAGATCTGCAATAGAAGTGGTTGTCTATCGATGGTAGATGTTAATGGTGCACTATCAGTTGTAAATGCTGGAATGATGGACGTTCCTGTGTCCACCTAAATCTATCTTTCTGTATTTATTGGTCAATTACCAAATAAAATTGGTCTAATCATATTTTATTATTCTAATTTTGTTACGTTGTGTAACAGCTTCACCTACAATGGTTGCCAGTAGTCACTGTTGGGTGTTAACCTTGTTTTGTTTGTTTTACTGAACATATTTTTATTGGTCAATGACCAAATAAAGTTTATGTCTATCTGTCTGTCAAAAATATCAGTTGTATTTCTTTTCTCCCCCTTTAACTTTGTTATATTAGAAGGATGTATCTGTACATGTTTATTATTTTTTGGTCACAATATATGTAAGAAATATATAAGACAGAAATATATAAGACAGAAATATATAAGACAGAACTAATCATTTAACAACATTTTTGTAAATAAAGTCTGTTTATAATGAATGGATGCAGTACTAGATAGACAAGCAATATCGGATATTGTTTGTCTGCAATATCCAATATTTTGATCTGCATCAGGATCTTGGAATTCTAGCAGTTATGGGTTTTTTTAGAATCCACACTTAAATAATTTCTCCATTAGGTTTAATGCTGAAACTGTTTTTCAGTTTGTCTATTTCTAGGTGAGTAAATTTCATTGCAAACTTTTCCCACACTGTTGAATAGGACACCTATTGCTAGCCATTCCAACGTTGTATTTTGATGTGCTGCTTAATTCTTTCAAGGCTATGGCCCAGAAAGAAGATATGGAAGAAAGAATAACTACCCTGGAGAAACGTTACCTAAGTGCACAGAGGGAATCTACTTCCATACATGACATGAATGACAAATTGGAAAATGAACTGGCAAACAAAGAAGCCATCCTACGTCAGGTTCTGTATTGGAATTGCGGCTACAGCTCAATGAATTGTAGGAGAAACTATTCAGATAAGCCTCCTCCTCCCCTATTTATGCATTACATTTGTTTTAAATTACAACAGGCATGTTTACATTCATTGATTTCTACAGATTGAAGTAGGAATGAATTTGGATTTTCATATAATCAAGGTGAGAGGCTAACACAAATCATGTGTAGGATTAGACCTTTTTAAAAAAAAAATGCCATCATGAGAAGATATTATTTTGGAACTTGTTGGGTTGTAAGACCAGGTATCTGCCAAGTTAAGATAGCAAACATTTAAGAATATTCTAAGCTAAGACAGAGGCAAATCAAATGAAAGGGGTGGCAGATACATTAACTGGGCACACATTAACTGTACAGGTAGTTGTAAGGACTGACAGTATTCTACATTGTTATTTTATGCTAATAAACATAGCTTAATAGTAAGTTACAAAATGATCCAGTTTTGATTTAACTAAGAGTTAAATTATAGTAAACACAATTGAACACAAAAAATGTTCACCTTTTCAATGAGACTGCTTTGTAAAAGTTATGGCAGAGGGACTGTGCTCTAATTTTGGCACAAAAAGAAAGAAAAAACATGGCAAGATATTCTCCTCTTGGTATATGAAAGAGGTAAACTAAGCTATTAATTGGATTCCCTGGTACACCTTATGAACTGTATAATCTGCAAATGACATTCAATCATGTGAATGTTAATTCGGTTTACTTATATATAATTATTTATCTTACTTTACTACTTACAATTTAGGAACAAGGAAATATTTGTTCTTAAGCAGCTGGCAAAGAATACTAGCTGAGATATAGAATTGAAGCCCATACAAGACAGAAATTAAAATTTCCAAAACAAAGATAATGTAGGAAATTGTGGTGTGTGTATATGTGGAGAGAGAGAGAGAGAGAGAGAGAGAGAGAGAGAGAGAGCAGTACATGAGTTGTATAATATATTAAAATTCAGTGTGAGATTTTTATTATGCTAATTTGGAATTTCCTTGTACAGTAGATCTATAGATGCCATTTATAATTTCTTCCATTTTCTTATCATACTACTAGCATACTTCATAGAAAAGTGTAATATTTGGTTGATATAGGTGGAATATATAAAATGGCAATGAAAGCTGGGTTAACTTACTAAATTTTCCCACCAAGACATCCCTCTTTTTTATTAATTTTTAATATTTGAATGATATATTAATTGGAAATAAATAACACAGAAAACAGTTTTTTTCCGTTTCATTGGGGCATATGATGGGAAAGGATCAGCAGTTGCCACCAATGTATGATATAGTATTTGCAGAAACAGGAGATTTACTTAACCTATTAGAAATTTAATTATACAATGAACCATATTGGTTTGGGAAATTTTAATCTCCAGTTGTTTCTATGAATGTGTATTTTTTTTCTTATCCTTCCCTCCATTGCCCAGTTCCTAATCTAATCTTTAATCTTACAATTTCTGGATTTTAGATGGAGGAAAAAAACAGGCAGCTGCAAGAACGTCTTGAGCTAGCTGAGCAAAAGCTACAACAAACAATGAGAAAAGCTGAGACTTTACCAGAAGTGGAGGCAGAATTGGCCCAGAGAATTGCAGCACTGACTAAGGTAATGTAAGTTTAAGAATAGGTTAGTATCTGAAAATTGATTTCTTTTAAAATTGATTTTTCATCCATTTCTCCTCCCTTCAGCACCGTCAGCAGCAATAAAAGACTTTTGGAGTGGACAAGATGATTCTACTTAATGGCACCGTAAATAAATATTAATTAGACAAAGTTACTTGCTTTAGTTTAATTTAATGGCAGAGGTATTGCTTTGTGTTTCTTTTATGGCTTCATATATTTCTGCCAATATACCAGAGGAGTTTATTTTATAATACATTGTATTATAAAAGAATTATGATTAACCCAGTTCAGCTAAACATCATGAAATTTATTTGTCATCGAATTTTCTTTTTTACATCACATTGATTCAGCAAAACACAGAGATCACTTTCATTAAAATAAATTTCAAGATTCAGGTTTTTTTTTTCCTTGGCCACACATGAAGGATTCTGTGTTGCATGAGAGCATTAAGAGCTTGGATAGGACAAGTGCTTGATAAACTATTCCAGTAATATGCAGTCCACATCTCTGGAATTTGCATATTGGCTCCATGGTAAAATGTGCAGGTTGCCAAGCTTAGTTGTTATAGAAGAACAACTTATAAAAAGTAAAGGCACACTACACTTGTAAATCCTTTGCAGTTCCTCTTTATTAGCTTTCAAACCATAGTGTTTTGCTTTGTACTGTGGAGTTTCCTCTGCATATCTTATTGTGCAACAATGCCCAGTTTCTCTTCTGCAACACTCACCTCCTCAATAAAGATGCAGAGAAATGGCATATTTGATTTTGATAAGTCTGTAAAACATATATGAATGATATTCAGTAGAAAGAAAGCCCTTTTCAATGAAAATGTTATATTAAAAACTCAGAACAACTTCAAATGGTACAAAAATGATTTTGCTTTCATTTCAAAATATTAATGGATTATTCCTTCTTGGCTATCTGTCCAAATACTTTTCAGTTCCTCATGCAACCGTTTAATGAGATAATATTTTCCTGCTCTGTTAGGGTTTCTGGTAATATATACAAAAATCATTTAATCTGCAAAGTGATGTCTTGAAAAGGAAACATCAATGCACATGAATGTTTCTACATTTTCTACAGAGAGAGTAGATGAATGAATGTTTTTGTATATTTTTCAATATATAGCCTGCCAAACTGGTTCAGCCTTATCTATCTTCTCTACTGTCTCTATGTTGGTGAGGAAGGGTAATATTAATATTTGCGGTGATATTACTTATAAGCTATTTTTGTTACACTATAAACATATTAGCTGTTCCCAAACCTTTCAGTTCTGTTGTTCAATAAATATTTATGGCTTATATATTTCATTTAAATTTTGTTGTGTAAATTAGATTTGTGTGTAGGTTAAATGACTTTAAGGAGGGTAGGGGAAAGCTTCTATTTAAACCAGCCAACTCAGTCTGTATTCTTTCTTGATATAGAGATTTCAGCTCTCTATATCAACTAAAAGGTGTTTAGGTTAGAGGGTCCTAAATTAGATAATTACATTATAGGTGATATAGCTAAAGTTGGTTCAAAAGGTATATTTAGTATTTGACCCTTCTACAAGCAAAGTATCTGAAACACCAAGAAAAAACACAGCAGGGATCTTCTTTGAAATATGAGGAGTGGTAGGCAATAGTTCTTACAAATCCAGCTCAGGCATGGCCTTTAATCTTCCATAATATAGCACTTAGTTGGCAGTTTGCCCAGATATCCAATAGGAGGAAGGTATGTTAAATATGTTCGTTACCTTGAGTATTTTTGAAAATAATAAAGGCAGAATAGAAATCAATAAATAAAGGTTCTGTGGGAAAGGAGACAAAAGTTGAGGATAAGAAGCATCAGCCTACTCCATCTAATTCATCCAAATTCAATCACTAAAATAGGAAGACAGTTTACAGGCTTCATACTAATATCCAATTTTGAGGATCATTGAAAATTAGATTATATCACTTTGTCCTTATCTTCTTTTAATGTCTCTTTAAAGTATATAGTATTAATAATAAGAGCTCTGATGAAATGTCATGTGACGCCAATTTGTCTGATTAAGCTTTTTTCCAGACTGACTGAATTATTATGGATTGTTAAGAGAGCTGAAGCCAATGGGCAAATTTTAGCTCTCATTAAGCCCAAAGGTGGATAGTCTTAACTATGATTTAGTAACAGGACAGTGTAGATTATACGTTTGGTTTGATGTCCTACACAGTAGTCCAAACAGTTTTGTCCCATGATGCACCATTTCGTCTAGTTAATGGTTACAGACATAAAAGTTTTAGTAATGTATAGATTTAATGCTTCATCAATTTTTAATTTCAAAGAACTGAGAATGACATGACTTATATATGACTAAAAAACCCCCCCGATTGATACTATGGTTTGGAAGCTACTTTTCTGCATATGCAGTAAAGGTTTTTGACCAAAACCTATAGCCATAATTGATAGGTTATCTTTATGAGATTATTTGATAAGGACAAAGTCTATGTTGTCTGGTCTGGGCAAAAAATGTAATAATCATAAATTAAAACAAGGGTGACAAATCTTAACTTATAATCAGACCATGTCACTGAAATTTGGAGGGGAGAAGGGTAAAAGTCAAGAGTGATAAGTTTATGTCATTGAGAAAGGGTTTTAAGGATGAGAACGGGAATAGTTTATTTTCCAAATGCCTTCTACTCCCATTCATGCCTTAACTCCTTGCAAATCCATTATTGTGGAGTAGACTGAATTGATCAATATCAGACCATATGATTCTGGGGTATATTGTTGACTTATAAGGAAAATAACTGCTGAGAGTAATGGAAGACAGACGTGTATAAGGCTTTCATGCATAGTTAATCTGTATACAGAAAAGTTTTTTACCATTTCATAATAATAGAATTTTAGTTTATCCATTGAAATAAAATGCAGGAAGAATTGTGGTCTGATAGAACAAAGTATTTTTTCACACAGCACATAATATTGAGGAATTTGCTATCAGGAGATGTAGTAATGGCAGCCAGTTAAGGGCCAGTAGCTATCAAAAAGTTCTGAATGTGTCATGGAAGTTTAAACTATCCATGCCAAATAATATTGATATTTATTTTCTCCTGAATCATGGAGGAACATGCTTTGTTGAGAGGTAACAGGAAAAGGGGTTAATGTGTCTTGTGGACTTCTCACATATTTCAGTGGGCTACTGTGTGATAGACTAGAATGTTTTTTGGCATGATTCAGCTGGAGTCTTTTTGTATTTATATCTTATAATAGTTTTTTGTGGATCTGAAAGTGAGTAATACTTATTTTCTTTGGGAACTGCTGTGGGTTTTTTTTTAGGTATTCTGATTACCTCCTCCAGAGTATTGGAAGAAAGTAAAAACTTGTGAAATCTTTTTTCTGACAGGACAGTGGAGTCACTTACCTAGATCATGCAGCTTTATTCTAAGATTAAATATTTAGAAAGTTTGACTTCTGAGATGTATCCTCTGGCAATAATATTTTCTTGATGGTTTCAGAAAAAGTTAAGAGTTTAGCTTTGTTTCAGATAAGGCCTCTGTGTGGTAATTTTATCAATTTGATCCTTTTTGTAGTCAACAGAAGGAACTATCAGTGAAGGCTATGAGAACATCTTCCTGATGTTCATGGAATTTTTGGTAATAAAAATGTTTCCCTTTAAATAAAATAACCATTTTTGAAGCATAATTGAAGCAATAGATCAGTTTTATGCTTTGCAATGACTCTTCAAGATGTTTTGCATTATTTCATAATCAGTACCCTGAAATAATCATTAATGTCTTCTCTTAATTTTGTGCCATCAAGTTCAAATGCTTCTCACTAGTCATCTCTGATATCTTCCAGAAGCTCAATACAATTTTCTGATTTTAGGACTTGGCATGGATAGTAAAAACAGCACTGGCCCTCATACTCAGCTGTATTTAGGTGGATAATCACAAATTGTTTTCAAACAATGTACATGTTTTTACAGAAGTGAAAAGGACTGACTCAAAAGTACCAATCTAATATTATAAATTTAGGCCACAATCATGTGTTCACTTACTTAGAAATAAATCTGATTGAATTTAATGTGAGATATATTTTATAAGATTCACTTAAAATCTCATTGCTTGGTAAGGTAAAGACAAAACCCACAATACATTTTAGAGTTTTACTAAATGTTTATAGTCAGCATAGAGTTCACGATAATATATTTCCCCAGATTGTAGTTTAGTGCCCAACAAAATGCTATAGCGTATTCAGTCATGGTCTATGCCTTTGGTAAAGCAATTAGATATTTGCTTTATATTCACTCCTATTTAGTACTTTTCATTGTGAGAGGACTTTGTTCCTTTACCTAGAAATTCAGTATCATTTATTTGCTTTTGTACCTTAAAGGGAATCTACGTGACATTATTCTAAAAATGTTTAATCCATTTATTTAATACAACCTGTAACACTGTATACCCTGTTTTCATTATGATTGTAGGATAATCTTCAAAAACACATTCTGGCACTGACTTTTCATGCACTAATTATGAGTTTACCCAAATTCCAATCAGACTTGGTATTTCTCATAGTTACTTTGAATACCTCTCTGTGGAGGAAGAATAATTCTCATCAGCCAGCCATCACTAACTTGGAATTTCCATACTTAGGTTGTTGGCTTTTTTAGCATTCCATTGTTTTCACTCCATCTGCATCAACTGCCTCATATCACCCTATTGTAAGTGTGGTTTATTCTACATAAAATTTTGTCAGTTAAAATATTAAATTTGCAATCACACTTTTCTTTTAAGCATTCTGTGCAGTATTCTGTTCAGTGTGGTGTCTTTAGTTCTGATTTTTCAATTTTGTCCCTCTCCTTTTCCTTGATGTTAGTCTGATCCAACCTCTTCTACCTCATCTGATGATTATCAATATGTTATGGAAGCTAAACTACAAGAAATGATCTCCATACGTAGGAAGGTAGTCCTACAGGACTTTACTTTCTATTGCTAAATAGAATCTCATCTGATTTTGTTTTTATATTTTTAAGAACTCTTTTAATTTCTGTATTTATTTTATTGATAATCAACCATTCTGCAGTTCAATGCTTAAAGAGCTTACAATTTTATGATGGCAGGTTTGTGTTCAAACCATGCACAGTCTGCATGTTACATTTGGCTGATTTCATTGCTCATAAATAACTCCAATGTTTTGCTGGATGCTTGGATGTAACAGGCCTTTGTAGCTGACACATTTCAAGCGATGCTGTTCAGCTGCCTGTTTGAATAAAATTAAGTTTTGCAGTTAGTAGTAGCTTGCTTTATATTTCCTTTTTTGAAAATGACCATTTTGATTTAAAAAGCTATTTAATGTTTCACACCAACATATATTATTTTTATAGGCAGAAGAAAGACATGGCAATATTGAAGAACGCATGCGGCACCTAGAGGCTCAGTTGGAAGAGAAGAATCAAGAACTTCAAAGGGTATACATACTTATATTATGGTTTAGGTTTAGGTTTTATTCAATTTATACCCCGCCCTTCTCCTAGTGGACTCAGGGCGGCTTACAGCAAGTTAAAAAACAGACAAACCATACAAAATACTAAGTTTAAAATACAATTAAAATGAAATATTGATTTTTTGCCGTTTCTTTTTAAAATTATGTTAATAACCAAATAAAATCAAATTAAAATCAAATTAAAATATCCCTTAGGCCAGTCCCGCTAGCTGGAATAGCCATGTCTTATAGTTTGAGTTCAACTATTTATCCCATGTCACATAAATCTGTAAAATTATAATAGCAGCCATTGTTGTTATTTTTCATGAACTTACAGCTTGATGCAGTACAATATCAGGATACTGATGGAATAATATATTATAGTCCAGTTTAAAATCATAATAAAACTATAGAGCTCCACTCTGAGTATCAGCAGAAGTTTTCTGTTTTTGTCTCAATGACAAAAGGCAAGGGGGGAGCTGTTTGGTTTTTATTCCCCCTCGTCTGCTGGGTGGTTGCAGCAGATTTTGGTCTCTTCTGTCATGCTGCGAGGTTACCCACAAAGCACGTTTGTTTTGGGGGGGATCCCGACTCCTATTGCTAAGCTTGCTTAAACCCTCTTCTTCCACCTCCTCCTCCTCACTGGAGCTTCCCTTTGTCTGCAACGGTGGGACAGGAAGACCCCTGCCAGGCCGGGATGATAGGGATTTGCCCTCTGCGGAGTAGGGGCAGGGTTACTATGCTCCCTGTCAATCAGGTTTGATTTCCTTTCTTTGTCCCCCCCCTCCCTGCCTCTCCTGCTTGTAGCTGCCTCTGAGCCCCTCATTCTTGGGAGTTAGCATTGCCGGCACCTCCTGAGCCCCTCGTGCTGAGCTACTGTTGCCACCCAAGAGCTGTTTTAAAGTTAGAGAATCTTTGGGGGATAACCAACTAGCGCCCCGACACGCTTCCTGTGCCCTCACTTCAACAGCAGAAGCCATACATACCCCCAAAGCCCCTGCAATCACCTGTTGGTAATTGCATGCTGCTCCTGCAGCACCATGGCTGCTGTCTGCCATCCATCCAATTGGCTGGTGGCAAACTGCAGCCAAAAGCCCAGGACAAAGGCAGCTTTGGTGAATGGGCCGGGCCGAAGGGCGTGAGGTGGAGGGCATGGGACCCATTGGCCAGGGAGAATGGGCGGGGATGGGCCAGCCAAGGAGGAATGCTGGAGGCAAATGGACAGAGGCAGGAGGCTCAAGGAGAAGGAGGCGTGGCCAAGGGTAGGAGCTTATGGTCCCATTCCGTTGCTCACTCACTTGCTCGCTACTCTGGCAAACTCTGCACTGGGATGATGGTGCGTGTGCCCTCTGAGTGCCCCCTCTGGCACATGTGCCATAGGTTTGCCAGCATTGGGATAGAAGATGCTTCAAGTTGCCCCTATTTAAATTATCACAATTGCTGTGATCACAGGAGTAATTCTTATGATAGCCAGCCAAATGCACTAGCCCCAAATTGTAGATTCATTTATTTATTCATCAAATTTATATAGTATGCCACCCATCTCATGCAAAAGTGTCTCTGGGGAGCATACAAGAAAACTATAAAACAGTTAATATATAAAAACAATAATTATTAAAAACATAAAAACAGTTTAAATGGAATAGCTTAAAGTATATAAATACACAGAACTAATAATAGCTTAATAAACTGGTATTAGTCACTGTGACCTAAAATTTTACTGTATTTTCATGAGGAATGAACATGAAAAAGTGAGTCCTAAAGATGCTTTTCAAAAAGCAACTGGACTTCCTTTGTTTTTTCTTTGAAAATGCTTCACTTCTTATCTAAGAAGCTTCTTCAGTTCTGCTGCACTTTGTGCCACTTCCAAATATTTGATTTAAAATTACAGTGTCCTTTTGAATATGAATAATAAATGAAGGGTACATATCTGTATTGTAAGAAAAAAAAACCCTTACATCTATATACAAATCTATGACTAAATGTTTCAACTAATAAATTTATTTGTTTCTCTATGGAGCTGCTCAATTTTATTTTCTCTTTGAAATAAATTTGTTTTTCTACATGCCATTTTGTCATAGTATTAATATTACGACTTCAAATCAAACAAATCAATGTGAGTCTTTGACTAGTATTTTGATTTTAATTAATGTTGAGCCTGCTTGCTTTATTTCCTTTGAACTTTATTGAAAGGCAAGACAAAGAGAAAAAATGAATGAAGAGCACAACAAAAGATTGTCTGATACAGTGGACAGACTTTTGACAGAATCTAATGAACGTTTGCAACTGCATTTGAAAGAGAGAATGGCAGCATTGGAAGAGAAGGTAAAGAAAAACAAGCAAATAATGTGCATGCTTCTTGCTTCATTTAAGTATAGATATTCATAGTTATTTTCCTTCTTCATTTGATCCTGTCGAATGAAGGCATTAAAAAAATCTGAGACACAATCCATGGCCTCAATAAGAAATTATTTTTGTTGTGTTTCTGCAGTTCCTGTTGACTTTCTTCCTCCATCAGCTTCCCATAATGGTACATGGGACCACCACCAGAATTTAAAAAGTTTACAGCATGGTGATAGTAGTCCTTGCCCATTTCTTCTGTCTCTCATTGTCACTACTTTCACTTCCATAAACCTTTTGGTAGAGTCCCAGCCTTATGGTACAGTCATAGCAGTTTGCCATCACTACAAACACTTATTTGAGATATGCTTATCCTTTGTGCAGTACTTAGTAGAATATGAAACTATCATTTGTCTATATTCTTTAGTGTTAGTGGATAGTGGGCAATGGATGGCATTCCCCAGACATGGATGGCTGAGGAATTCTAGAATTCCACACATCTTTAAGTTGCCAAAGTTGAGAATTACTATGCTAATGGAATCAGGAACTTCAGTGATTCCTGCTTTTTATTCAGTATTCTCACCCTTTTGCAAATGTCCCCTCATACCTGCTCTGATTGAATGTAACTGGCAATGCCTGCAGGTCACAAATGAAAACAATCTCTTAATTTTACATTATTAATCGTATGTTGATATCAATTTTGTAATTGTACTAGTGGTAGTATCTATATTCAGTCTTGGATTGAATTAATGAAAGAATTTTAACAATATGTCTTATGTTAGAGATAAAAATAATTTAAATGTCATTGATATGTGGTTGATTTATTTGTTAACCTTGATTGGGTAATAATTATTTCACTAGACCTTATTTTAGCTTTTATTTTTGTCTCTTAGAATGTTTTAATAGAAGAATCAGAAAACTTCAGAAAGACTTTGGAAGAATCTCTGCATGATAAGGTACCCTAGACCTAGATTAATTACAGCCTTTATTAATAATGTTTTTTTTAAAAATGCAATCATAAGAATTAATTCTAGGCTGCAATTATATGCACATATATTTGAGAGTAAGACAGTTGTCTTTATACAAGTATTCTACATAATAGATTGATTCAACATCTGTCCAGATAACATTAATGATAACATTATAGTGTTATTAATGTGCTCATCCAAACAAAATAAAGTATTGTCTTTTCTTCTATTCATGCTTATCTGTACCATTTAAACTGTTCTTATCAAATCGGGTTTCTTTTTCAAGAAACTTTGGCTTGTATAAAACAGCCACCAACATTCCTAGCTTTGGTGATTATTTTTCCTTTCTCTGTTGTATAAAATCCCTTATGTCTCAGGAGCACAGGTTTTTTAATATAAAAGTTTTATTAATTTTTAAGAATTACAGTCTTTAGTGCTTAGTAAATAACATGTTGTCTGAGTTCATATACTTAACATTAACTTCTTCAATATAAATCTGTTCAGTACTACACACTCCAGTATTTTTTCCCTGATCCTCCTCCTCCATATTTTTTCCATTTTCCCCTCATTGCACAGTTTTTGGTACTGTTAACAGTATAATTTTGGGTAATGTTAATATATGCAGAATTAAATATAAGCATCTTCATCATATTTTACTAATATCATACAAATAACAATATCAATTCATAAATCAATATCCTGTTTTTCGTGCTCTTGTTAAAGTTTGGTTTCCCATTGGTATTTGAAATATCTTTGTCAGTTATGATTTTCTTAATATTAATTACATTTATATAGCTAAAAGTTTTATTCATATCAATCCTCTTATCTTTATATTTCCCATATCAAAAAAAAAGAAAAGAAAAAAATGCTATCTTAGTTCTAAATCATATCTTTCATTATAACAGTCTAATTATATCTAAGAGTCATCCGTTCTTTTAATCTTATTCAAACAAGTATTTAAAGATATAATGCCCCCTCTAAAAGGTAAAATCTTCTGTTTTTTAAATCTGACTCTCACTTTCTTTCTTTGCCAAGTAGCTTTCCAAGCCAGGGCAATTAGATCGCCCAGGAATTTTCTTTCTATTTTTGTGAAAATTGCTTGGCATGAGGAAGACAATTTAGATAGGGTGTTTTTTGGGGGGAGTTCTGCCCATTTATATTCCTTAAACAACTCTCAGTTCCTTTCTCCCTCTGTTTCTCTTTTCATTCCTTGTCTCCCAAGTTGTGACATTTCCCCTAACAGCTCTATATTCCATTTCTTAAAACCTTCTTCCTTGCCATTAGTTATATTTTGCAGACCTAAGGGGTAAAAGGTCTTTTGTATTTTCATTATTATAGCTAAGTATTTTGTTTGTATATAGTCGTTTATATTTCTCTTCTTTTATCTCTTCCATCTCTAAATCCATTTCCTCTGTTTCATCTTCTGATTTCTGGTTTATTTGTTCATACTTTGTAGTCATTATCTTTCTAGTTGTAGATTTAATTTGGAGATTTGCTCATTTATATTGTCTAAATTGATTTTATTCTCATTATGATTTCTTTTTATGTCCTCTTTATATTCAACAATTGTTTGGTGAATTAGTTGTAGCATAGAATATATTTCCTTCTGAAAGGTGTTTGTTTTTTCTTGAGGCATCATTCCTGGAGATCCTCTAGTATCACCAGTCTCAGTAAGAGTAGATCAACGTTTCCTCTAATTTTCTGGTCTTTATACGTATCCTTTATAATCCAATAGATTCCAAAGTCTAGGTTCAGTCCCGAAAGCAATATTTTATAGTGAACCTTTGTCTCAAGTATCCAAAAATTGTCAATCAGGCAAGGTTGTAATCCACAATGTTGGAAGCATTCAAAATGTTCAACCTCTCTGTAAACAGCTCAAAAGTCTCTCCCAGCCAGGCATAGTCCAAGGTCAACTTTTTCTTTCTCTTCCACTCACTCTTGAAGTTAAAAGTCCAAGCTCAGTAGGTATTTATAAACCAAGAAGGTCAGGGTGATAAGTATGCCAAAATATTTTCCTTTATTGCCAGCTATTCTCCCAAGCTAGGAATCACCAAGCAGCCAGGAAGCAAATTATAGTGCTATACACAAATCCACAACTAGATGTCATTCAAAGTCCATTTTCCAGTCTTAAAACAAAGAATTGATTTCTTATATTTTGCCTCAATGTTTTTTTTTAAAGAGAAAATCTTAATAGTTATCTCAGTTCTCAAATTTATCAAAACTGTAGCTTTATGTTACTTCCACTTCAGTATTGTATGTTTCTATCCCCCATAAAATTAAAACGCCGCTTCCGTTTACATTTGGAGGTTTTTAGCTTCTTGGGAGCTTTTCCCAGGAAATTCAGTTGTAAAATAGTAAAGAAAGGATCAATATTCTCACCCAGTTCCAAACATGTTGTTTATGATGTATTAATTGGTGCTTTTTTTCTTCTTTGGTTGTCAGCAGCTAATGGCTGGCCACAGGAATGTAGCCGGTCCTTCCCCTGCCAGTTTGGAGGGCTTTCCTTGGATCAAATGGAAAGACGACTGTCTCTCCATGATCAACAAGGCATCCTTCATTGCCTCTTCAGGGCAACTTTAGGCTCTTTTTAGGGCCCCAGCAGTGCGAAATCGGGGGTGGAAGGCAGAGCCTGCCTTCCTGCGTTCCGTCTCGCCACGATGCAAACCAGAAGTCTCGGGAGCACAGTTTTTAAGGGTGAAGAGATTGGAATTGAAGTATGATTAGAGTTCCTGTCCACCCTCATGAAAAGTACAAAACTGCTGCGCATGTATATGTTAACAAACATATTTCTTGTATTTGTTCCTTTGTTGTATTACTAAGCTACATTTTCTCTAACATGGTCAAGGATTTTGTGGCAATATACATTTTATTCCCCAGAACTGCTTCTTATGATGTTGAATGGGCCCAAAGGGAGTGATTGGCCCAAGGTGACCCAGTAGACTTCTTGGTTCAACTGGAATTTAATTAGGAGCCTGTGCAATTCTAGCATAATGTGTTAACCACCTGCTGTATCAATTCTTTTTGTTTACAATGCATTTTGAAAGTCAGCACAGGTAGAGAATACTCTAAATGGTAAACCAGTTAAATGCCAAGTTGTGTCAAGATTTTAGAGGAGAGATTCCTTTTCTTTTCTTTTTTAAAAATAATACTGTTTCATGTTAAAAAGTATGTATGAGAATAAGGAAAATGCTAGATTACTAAAATGCTAGATTCTCTAAGTAAGGGGTGTCAAACTCGCAACGTCACATGACGTGTTGTGACATATTGCAACTTTTTTTTCGTTGCCGGTAATGGGGTAGGTGCGGTTTCAGCATGACGCATCCAGCCCATGGGCTGGCAGTTTGACATCCTTGTTCTAAGTCATAACTTAAATAATAAAAACCATTATAAATACAGAGAGAGAGAGAACATGCAGATGGAGGGAAGAATAAATGGTAGTTATTTTCTGGATAAGAAAGAGAATCTAAAATAAAGTAAATTTAGGAAAATAATTAAAAATATTTCTCCCAAGGGGAAAATAGAGGTGTTTCAGAAAACCAAAATTAATGTGAAGACTAGTACATAAAATCCTGTGTATCTTAACTGACATTTTATTTGCACTAACATTTTGAATTATATTTGACAAATGTTTCTAGGCTGTACCTTTGTTAACAGGACTAGCTTACTAAAATGTAACTCTCCATTAAGGCCAGTGTTTTTGTCCTACAATAAATATGAATTCAAACTATAATACTGGGCTATTTTTTTTAATGAGAAAGCTCACCCTTTGCACTTGATCTTGATAATAGTAAGCATCACACTGGAAAAATTACCAACAGCTACACATAAAAACCTCATTGCTTGTAAGTGGTGACAGCTAATTTTAGTTAGGTTGATGCCTTTATTGTAAGCTGTTCCTGTATTAAAATTATTTTAAAATAGTACAAAAAATGTAAATATGGTGAAAATGCAACAATTTTGGAATATGTGAAGAGTATTTCTAGTTTTCTGTTTGTCAAATCTGGAATCTCCAGGCTTATTAATGATGGTCTTCCAGATGTAGTTTTGTGTATATAATGAATTGATCCATTTCTCATCACTCTGCCCTGAGAATGGAAGTTGCACTTAAACGTATCAAGACAATACCAATTTTGTCTACAAATCCCTCGTTAATAATTCCTTAATATTGTCAGATCTGTAGGCATGTTTTATCAGATGGTTTTATGGTTCTTTCACACATATACTTTACTAACAAATATCCATTATAAAGATTTAATCTAATTCACCTTTCTACTATCCTCAGCCTTGCATAATTCCCAAGGCAATATGCTGGATAGTGATTGTGGGAGTCAGGGCTTTTTTTCAGCCGGAACGCGGCGGAACCGC